TCTTTGACTGAGGCGTGTGGGAAATGCAATGTCACCCTCATTTTCATTTTCTGATTTCTCATACGCGAGCCACTCAACGTTGATCAACTAAAAGCGTCTACAATTTTATCCCTCAAATTTGCTGACTTTTTTCTTTGCCTCGTTGAAGTACTGTGGGGTTGTGTTGATGTGGGTCTGTCTTTTCAGACTGCAGAAAGCGATTTGCAGTCACGGTCGGATGTGCGGGTGTGCAACCCGTTGAAGCCTGGCTACACGTCGTCAACACTCAATTTTCGAACTTGCGACCATGAAGACTTTTTTTTTTTTTTTGTTTTTTTGTTCATTTTTTTTCGGTTTGTGACCATGAGTTCTAAAAATTGTATTAATAGATTTGATTTCTGAGCCGTTCATCAAAGATACAAAATGTCCCTGGTTGAAATATATATCTCAAAGAGCGTTCATACCTGACCCTCAACGCCGTCAGACTTGATCATTTTCCCTGATCGATTGGTTGAACGTCACCCTTCAATCAAATCAAATGATAAAATTCCAACAGAGAGCAATCAATTTCTAAGGTTGACCGCACCAATCAACTGTTAGGATCCCATGCATAGTCACCTAGTCACCTGCTTCTGCATAGTCTATAAGAGATACCAAGACCGGTGGAAATGATACTGCCAACATCCTTGACTTTCTCTTGCGGACAAAATGGAAGCGCAAAACAACTCGACAGAAATTGGAGATCGGCAGCCCAGTGACTTGCCCAACCCTGGCGAGAAAGACAACTCAGTGGAAACCTCTGACCACGTCCCATTGGTAAGTGAAACGAAAATCGGCTTTAAATACTTTGCTGACCACCATAGCCCTCCTCACAACAAAACGCAGACGCCAGACACCCCCTGACCACCGAGCCCTTTGAAGACATTCTGAAGGTGCTTGCTGACATCGAGCGGGACGATCCAAACCTCGCCTTTCCAGCTGCTCGACTTGTCGGACTATATCGACGCTTATGGGAGTCATGCGTGTCCAAGCATGTAGATTGCCAGAGGCTAGAGCGGGAGAATCTTCTTTTGGAGGAGGCTGGTGCGCACCTGAGAACAAAGAGAGATGGTCTTCAGCTTCGCCACGACAAACAACTCGCCCGGCTGCGCTTTTTTGAGCGAGCACTAGCATCGTTTCGGGAGCGACTGACTAGCATACTTGATGACTGGAACTACCCTTCTCAGACTCAATCTGGCAGGGCTCTTGGATAATGCAGGGGGAGAGTGAAGATCGGCTATTTGGGATTACCCTTCAGAGATAGATTCAGCACTACAATAATATTGTGATTCAAAGAGAATTACGGCATGGGCAGTGATTTTTATTCCTTGTCCGCGAACAATCCCCGTATTCTGGACTGATCTCATCTGTAGCCCCCCCACTATGTTATGCACAAAAGACTTCGGATTCAGGGACAGTGTCGTCGGAAGTGCACCTAGCGGAGGGACGGTTGGTTGACTTGAGTATTCAAGAGACTTCATGCGGGGCCACAGAAACAGTCGAAAGCCAATGGCTGTTGCGTCAAATCCGTGCCAGGAGATCACATCTGGCAGCTCTCCGCGTATCCGACAGAGGCTCCACGCGGCCGTCTCAACTTGGCGAAGAAAGAAAATACGCTCTTCTGTCATCTCGCCAGACTTCTGGTAAAATAGGACCAATCAAAACTCTATGTAGTGCACTTTGGCAGGGAAAGCGAACGCCGACATGAAGAAGAACATGTCATTAGCCTGAGTAGACGCGGGCAGAGGATCTGGACCCACCCACTGGAAGACCGGCAGCTTGTCGTTATCGTGAGTGGGAAGCAAAAAGATTTCGATTGAGGATGGTCTTGAAACCGCATATCCAGTAGGCTCACTTTCGTCCGAGAGAATCTGCCGAGGTTGTTCGTGGTCGGTAGCGAGAGAAGGAGGTGGTGTTGGTATGCCAGAGGACTCCTGCCAGATGGCGTGGAGATCGAGATCCAAATCACACTCTACCAAATTTAGCACCAAAAAAGCAGAGGAAGAATAAGTACAGACTGTTTGTGCTTGACCTATTCGTTGTTGCTCTAGACTCGCTGTCAAAGGCGGGTGGAATAAACACAAGAGTAGAATTAGCAATTGGAAGAGAGTGAGAGAAACAGACTACTGTACCATAGTGTGAGCAGGAAATTTAATTATAATCTGATCCCAGTTCATGGCCGACGCTATGTTCTCGAATGTCAAACTTTTGATGCATCAACGGCGGTGAAATGTTGATTCCATCGCCGCATCCAACAGAATTTCACCGGTGATCGGATAGGATTCAGAAAGAGAAATCATAGTCAGAATAAAGCAAAGATAAGTAAAATAGCCAGCAAAGAGCGACCGTCTTCACTAGCGCTCAATAGAACCAAGAGTCATCAAGGCCCATCAACGTGGTAGGCTTGAGTATTGCTCGATTGCAAAGCTGAAACAACACCATTACAAAGTGCTGACTAGCCTCAAACTCAATGGCCACAGGATTTGCAAATTGCTGATGGTGGCTTTGCAGGTTGCTATCATTTTCTGGATCGTGGGAAGACCAGCACTGTCTCTTGGCTGGCCGGTCACATGGAGAAGGCGGAGTTGGATGTTCCATCGCAGCCTTTGGAATAAAATGCAAAGTACATTGTACTCGAGGGCCTTTTATAGCCCAGCGGTCACCCTAAGGCTGCTGTCATTGCCACCCATGACCGTCCCGGCCTGAACTCGACCGCCTTCAAAAGTGACTGAACGGTTTGATCAACGTTTACCCCAACTGTTCACGCTCGAACTAACCTACCGCTTACCTCGACTTACTCAATTTAATGTGAAAATGGACACAAGATTTGATCTAGAAAAAAAAGAGTTGCAGGGGCACTTGATTATAGTTTGCAAGTCCAGTTTTGATGATTGGATGGTGTAAACAGGTAGGCTTCGGTGGAGCTGAACGTGGCATTACTGTGAATAAACCTGTTCAACGGAGGGATGAAAATAGTTAATTCCGATAGTTCATGGCAAGCGATGCTGAGAACAGCCTTCTGGTGTTGCATCGCGACATATGTAGATGTCCCTAACTCTCCAGACGACCAAACTTCATCCTCGGAGACCGCCTCAACGATGTTTGACGAGAGTTGTTGGATTCCATTCTGTTCCGAATAGCACTCTTGATGCAGTCGTCTCTTGCTAGCTCAAGCGATCTCTTTAAACTGAAGGATTGGAGTCTGGTGTTTGCCATCCACCCTTGACTGCCAACATCAACGGATCCTCGAAATATTCATTCCGGAGGTTGACATCAATTTGGTGATGGGACAAGAGTGCCTGGACCATCTCCAAGTCACCACCACGGGCAGCAATGCAGAGTGCAGTGTCGTGGGATACGATCGTGCTTTCATTGATGTTCAGACGTGTGCCTTCTTGCACTAATAGCCGGACCACATCATGATGGCCGTTTGCAGCCGCTTGACAGATTGGCGGATCTATGAAGCCCATCCCATTGATCTCCACGCTCGCCATATTCAGTAGACAAGCAACTGCGCTCACGCATCCGCGGGATGCGGCAATAGAGATTGGAGAGTGACCTGCAACGCAAACATTCGGATCAATCTCTGGCACCGCTAGCAGCCGTCGTAGAAGCACGGTATCCAATCTGGCCGCGGCGTGGTGTAGAGACGTAGACGGCATTCCCAATCTCCCACGGCCCCCAATAAGGTTGACGTCGATGTCTTTCTCGGCCAACAGCCTTTCGGTTATCTCATAGTAAGACGAGTAAGTAGACAGCTAAAGGGGCGTATTTCCATCTTTGTCTGTGCAGTTCACATTGGCACGTGAGTGACTCAGAAGCAAATCGACCACTTCAGGGCGATTGCTCTCGATGGCCAGATGGAGTGGCGTGTAGCCTCTCCGATCCTGGCTGTCTAGCGCCGGGTCTTTTCGTCTAAGAAGCCGTCGGACAGCAGCTACAGAACCATGGGCGACTGCTTGATGCAGCGGTAGCGCAGTGTCCCGTGATGATTGAGGTCCAAGAAACAAGTCGGAGTCAGGGTCTTTGGAAAGAATCATTTTCATCACGGGTCTATTGAATTGACGTGCCCAGGCCCACGGCGAGTCGCCTGAATCATCCTGTAGATCAGGGTTGCTACCTCTTGACAGCAGAAGATGTACGAACTCGTATAATGCTCGTGCTAAGAAGAGGTGGTGTAGACTTCTCACTGATCGTAATATTGAGTCACTAGGGAGGTTAATGCCACGAATGCGAGTTCGATGTCAAAGTGTTCATGGTTTGTGGTGAACGTGCTATTCATTCGCATGGAGACGTGCTACTACAGATATATGTAACACGAAGATCAAGCTAATTCCCAAAGTGATTCTTTATGTAGATATTTCGAAATCACCATGCGTCGGCTTGGCTCTAGATTTTACCAGCGATATATCACAACAATATTGTCCGTCAATAAGGACTTGACAAGGCTATTGGCCCAAGGAATAGATCATTTGGGTGGGGTCTTCCCAAAGTGGGACGAAATGTGCGCGAGGCGTGAGATACCGCCCGAGCGACTAACTCCGTTTGTCAACGCGTCCTCAATCCGCATTAACGGTCTGCTTATCAACGGGTTGACACAGTCACCATCCACAGATTGTTTTCAGAGCTGGTCACTGCTTTTCGAAGCTGGCCATGTTAAGAAAGTCATTCAACTGTTTACCAGAGCAGGCTCAACTGTTTAGAAAGCCGGTCAACTGTTTATGCACGCTCAGTCAACTGTTGAAGAAAACAGGCTCAACTGTTTATGAAAACATGCTCATTTTTTTTATCAATGCAGGCTCCAATATTCACCAACACTGGGTCAACTGTTTACGATTGCTCATTCAACCATAACAGGCTCGACCGTGTACGAAAAAAAGCTGAACTGTTTACCAAAGCTGGGCAACTGTTCACCGAAGCAGGCTGGTTGCCACCATGGACTATTGATTACTGCATCTACCCCGTCACCACCAACACCAACCTCAACAGTCATCTCGGTCTTCCTGACCTGTGAGACAGACGTGAATAATGCTTTCCTGCCCAAGTCTGATGGTCTTTGACCGAGCCGACCAGCCTGTACGTGTTTGTATACACCATGTGAGATCAGGTTCTAGACATGATACTACTATGCACGGCAAAATCTGTAACAGGAAAATTCTGGGTTTATTCGTTCTCTATACAATGCTACCTTGGAGTGAAACAGGCCCCGGAATGCGCTCTCAAGGCCCTGCTGTCAACCTCTTCGCCGGTGGCCCGGGCCTACATGACGTATCCATTGATGGGTGTGCAGGTCTTAGCTTCTTCAATTGCAAAGCGAGAATTGAATAGTGGTCCCTAGCACCACGAAGAGGTGCCTGCACTTCGCTAGAGTTCCTTGGTTTCGCAGCTTCCCCCTGCGGAGACTCTTGGTGTCGCAGATGTCCCTGCGGAGACTCTTGGTTTCGCAGATGTCCCTGCGGAGACTCTTGGTGTCGCAGATGTCCCTGCGAGGCGCTTTGTTGACGCAGGACCTAGTCTGCGGAGAACTTGGTAATGCAGCGGTCTCCTGCAGAGAACTTGTTAACGCAGCGGTCTCCTGCGGGTCTCACTTGTCATCACAGCGTCCCCCTGCGGAGTTCACTTGGTAACGCAGCGCCCCCCCTGCGAGGATTGTTGTTGACGCAGACCTATCCAGCGAAGCACCTTCTTACACTCGCGGGGCTCATGGCAGCGAGGGAGCACATTCTTACATCGCTGGGCTCGTCGCAGCGACAGCCGTGGTCACGGAAGCTCTCAGGCCCGTAGGCAAAAGAGGGACACCATGACACATCGGAGTGTGAGGACCGAAGTCCTGATTTTTTTGGGCTGGGAATCTGGCCCCTTTTATATCTTTTCGGCTACGTCTCTACCAAGGAACCAGTTGCGCAGAAGGTAGCGAGAATCACTGTCTTGTTATTGTCGTTGAAGACATTTGAACAACGTTGAAATGGTGTTAGGAGACTTTGTGGCCTACAGACTCAAGTTTCAACCTGGATTCATTGCGTTCAAAACCTGCGTTGAGTGTGGTGCACCACTTTCCTCAACTGTTGAAAAGAGACCGACACCGCAAGAATATGATTCTCACACCATTGAAATTGCAATTAAATCGCTCAACGCGGTGGCAGACTGCTCTGCCCGTTTTGACCATGGTCACTAGCCATGGTCACCGTCTGTTTCATGAGAGTTGAAGTGCTTCAACAGGTGCCGCAATAATGGATTGGACAATGTGGCAGGCAGTCACATTCGATTATACCGGATGTTGGCCATAGGACGTGCCTCCCATTGATCCCACTACAATCCTCTGCCTATTTCTAGTTTCGCGCTACTCGAACGGTACTTTTCTTTGTTGCTCGCAACCAACTGAGGTTGCCTCCCCTAAAACTTCTTCTACCTGTCGGTGCAGACACTATGAACATACTCCCAAATCCAGGGTATAAGTTGTTTTCCTTGATGGAGAATCGAAAGTCTAGACTTTGTTGGAAATCTCAGAATATAAACCCGAGTCCAGTTTCCAGGACAATGAAGTGAGTTATTTCAGCTACCATGGCTCACGAGCTAGATTCTCGTGATCGCCACCCCCTCGCCAGATTGCAACGCTGCTATCACACCGATGAGACCCTAGATACAAATAGCACCCAACGGACCAATCAAACACCGCACGTGACTTTAGACAGACGCAGGTGCGGTTCAGCGATGCAGATCCCAGGGACGACCCACGGGATAGTAGATCACGGAGGTTCTATTTGTGGCCCGCAGAAGAAATCGGAAGGATCTGCAAGGGTCCAGACACGATCCACAACCTAGTCTTGACGGGCCGTCAGAGTACAGATGGAACAGGTCTTTGTTGCTTGGGCAGTCGGTTGGGGCAGATGAGGTATTTGGAATGTCACAGACTTTTTGCAGCGAGATCCGATCCGCGGTTCAGTTGCCCTCGCAAGAGAGACAGGTCCTTCGTACAGGGGGAAGCTGCTGCTATCTTTATCTGGTCTATAGAACGTTCTAGAAGCTATGTCTTTTGTCTTGTATAAACCTTCCTCGTGCAAACTATACTCTTTTTGAGCCTGACCCATCCTCTCCATCTGCCAAATCCGATCGCTAATTTGATATCTCTAGCAGATGGCTTGTAGAAAATATGCTAACTATGGACAAGCCACATGAGGTAAAAAAATGTCTCCGATTTTTGGACTAGAACAGAGACATCGATTGGCTCCCGAACAAGGGTCGGCATTGTGGGCCGGCACTCCTACGGCCCTTAACTTTATTTCAATCACCTTGCGCATCTTGATCATGACGCTGAATGTAGGGGATCCTCCTGATAAAGTGTTGTGTCTTGCAATATCATATACATGATCCGACCGAGAAGTTGGTGATTCTGCCCTAGATCTCTTTTAGAGCTGCAGGGCTTAATTACAAGCAACCTAAAAGCGAGTGGAGCAGAGGCTTGTAGATAAGCTTTCCTCGAGGATCATTAATGACAACCGCATTCTCTCACCGAGCGACCTTTCCCATGGTTCATCGAAATTTAATTTCAGGACTCTGCGATTCATCGACCATCCCAGCCAACTTCTACGGTCTGTGGGATAACTTTAGTCAATCCATGACCTTGTGACCCCCTCGCTATTGTTTTGATTCCAAGGATGTTTGGATATATTGCGAACTATCTGAATTCATAAAAATAAATCCTCCGTCCCTAGCAACACCTAACAACCTTCATTCATTGAGATAGTTAGGATCGATGCTCGGAGATCACGATGTAGCGCGCATGCAATCAAACCGCTGGTAGCATGAACGTTCTGCTCAGCGGTATCTCAGCTTTGTCGCTGCACAAACACGATGCACATAGTCCCAAATCTGCGATAACGATCGTATTTCTTTATGTCGCGGATGGCTGAGCAGTGGCCTCGCGCCGCCTGATATGAACGATCAGTTTGTCACCAATAGTGGATAAAGGTCGATTCATACCTAGTCTCGAGCCCTTCTCCTCGGTTGACTCAATGCTATCGGTATGGATAGGGTCGGCGGTTAGAATTGTGTGAAACCATATTGCAGTGTTACTTTGGCCAGGACCTTTCTTTGGAAGCGCTTCCAATGAAGCTCTTCCGCCCACCGATCGACGAGCGGCTCCTGCCTGGCTTCTATTCTCTGAATGCTTAGGCAGTTTGGCACCAGTACCACGTTGCTTGCGCAGAATATGATATTTTTTCCCTCGTAGAGACTCAACGCTTCGGCGCACCTGATGTTGTTCATAATATGCGTCGGAGCGGGCTTTCCACGGCAACGCCCGGTGTGCATCGAGCCAGGAAAGAATGTTTTCCTCCTCCCATTCCGACCAGACAATTTCGCTGCGAGGGGACATAGTGCTCGCATGAACTAGCAGTAGTCAGAGAGACTTTTTGAGGCAATGGCACGGTTTGAATTCATGCGGATGGGAAAGGTGAGCTTAAACCCCCTTCAGGTCCCAGTGAAAATCTAAGATAGTACCGTGGGTTGGTTCATCAGAAACTTTCAAAAGCGCAACAAGATGACCCATGAACCCTTTTGGCGTGTCAATTCAGCGGGTTTGAGCTGTTACCTATCGACGCCGTACTTCAGACTCTCTCGAAGCCCCAGCGTTCGAACATATCCCTATCTACAGTAGCGAGCAAATTTTAATTTTGTGCTTCTAAAGACTGCTCTTGGATGTAGCTACTGTGCGTTGAAATGAAAACAGCAGCGAATTCTCAGACCGAGCCCCACTGGGTATTGAATAATGTAACATTAAACAGACTTTGGCGGCAAATACGCAAAGTTTCCCCACATTAAATAGAATGGCCTTTATGACTCATTGGCCAGAATGTATTCCAAAATAAGCGACAAGTGTGGGATGTGCAGATGGCAGACAATGCGTCTTGCAAAACCCGATTGCAACCTCCGATCTGATGATCCAGCTCTCTTTAAAAGCCTGAACGACACCTTTGACATTTGGCCATATTTGAAGACGTTTGTAATTCCAGCGTGACTCAGGTGCAATCATGGCTGGGATTCGAAAACTTCCGTACACTGATCACAGACAAAGCTTTCGGAGCCGATTACAGCGCGCTCTATCCCTGCCACCCTCCGAGTCTGAGATTATCCGGAGTCCGTCAAGGTCTGCGGCGGGTGATACTACAGAGGACGGGGCCTCTGTTCAAGAAAATGAGAACTTTGGCAACGAACGCATCGGTATCTCGGCGGATTATGACCAGGAATCTCCTTCACCACAAAGGTGTAGGAGCCCGAGATCCGAGAACGAACTAGAACTACCCCGACAGGATGATCTTTCGAGAGACTGCAGTATGATCGCCTTCCAATGTGTGGCTGAGTGAGTGCCACAATCATCTGAAATGATGTTTTGCGATACGTCTGCTTACAACATTAAGTCTAGATATCCGAACGAAGTTAGTCGTGCGACCGAGCGGAAAAGAACGAAGGCTGACTTTTTCCAGGTCCATGCAAAAGTCACTGGATAACCAGAACAGCTGGATTGCAACTATTCGCAGTGATCTGGAGGACATCCGCAGTCGTTTGGCGGTTGTGGAGACAACTATGGAGATGGTGGCCAAAGAGAGGGAGAACGATACTACAATGGGCAATACAACTAGGCGAACGCTTCGGTCACAGCAGTGATCTGGATCAAGATTTGATAAGGTGGAAGTTTAGATTCTAAAGCCTGGAGTCGGCCCTTGACGGTTGAGGTGCCATCATGCAATTGTAACTTCAGACCAATCCTATCTCACCGGAGCAGACTCTAACTTGAAGCTGTATATAACCGTAAGGCTGGGGAACATTAGACAAAACGTCGCTATAAATTCGGTATGACGAGACTAATTCTCTGGCCTCGTTGCTGATAGCTTGATAGCCGTATAATGATACGATAAGACAGGCTATCAAGGTTTTCGGGTGTTTAAGCACTTGACGATCATTTTAGCCACTCCCTGGCCCACTTGGATCCATTCTCAAGTCCCAGCGGTGGATCAATTGAGATGCATTGATTGGCCGTCGTACTTGTGGTAGAGTATTCCAAATCTTATGACCCGC